CCCGCTCCTTCCTCCGTTTACGACGCTTGCGATCCTCGTCGGAACCATCTTCATCCTTGTCTCTGCGCTTGTGGTCTCTGCTTTAGAACGGTCGTGGTCGCGTTTATCCCGGTATGTCACGATCCTAGATGAGTCGGATAGGTTGTTGGTTGCGTGACAGCACCTTGCGAGGTCAGAGGAGATAGGCTGGGAAAGATGGCGTCGCACAATGGAGTGGTCCCGAGGGAGATAGCTCTCTGAGCTTCGGCTCCTGCTTCTGCCGTGGCCTGAAGACCGAGCGTGGTGGCGCTGCGAATTCGTATAGTTACTTTTGAAGCCCCGAGCTCTGAGGAAAGTAGCTTACAGAGCGCTGCGGGCTTGCACTTCGTTGACGCTAATGGAAGAACAACTCTCGCCAGTGGGTGTTACGACGGAGAGCGAACCCACTGAATGTTATCATCTCTATGTCGAGCGATGGACGGATCGCGCGCTAGAGTTGCCATCCTGCGGTCCAGGTGAGCCTAGCCGGCCTCAAGATGTAACGGTTGGCGCCACACACATCTGCTCTCTCGAACGTTGCCGTTCCCGCAGAGTGATTGTCATAGGCGACTTTCGTTCCAAATCCGTTGTTTTTGCTCGTAAAGAACGACGGTGATGCGTTACTTGGGCAGTTTCCACTTCGTCGCGCAGACATTTGAGCGGGAAGAGGTGTGCAATTTATGATATTCCGACAATGCTGAATCCTCTCTCCGTTCTTGTGATGATTTTCAGGTGTAACGTCAGAAAGCGCAGGCAGAAGTAGTCAACGGACAAAGGATGAGCTTTGCTTTGGCTTGCATGCGCGTTATGTTTTAGATCGTCCTTACCGACGTGGGGAGAGGTGGTTTCAAAGTTTGGTCCCACCTTGACGAGTATCCCATCATTCGAGAGCTGACTGTTGGGGAACGAAGCAACGCAGAACTGAGGGTTCGATTCGGAAGTAAAGCCGATCATGACAGCGGCGCAAAGTAAGTGCAACACGCTTGAGCGGCTGAGCCATATCTGACTACTTGTTCTTACCACTAATATTCACCCCATGAATTGTGAACTGACAATTGCTTCTCATTCAAGAGCTGGTTGATGTTTTACCTACCCTACTATGAATCCGTCCGTCCTTTACGTCAAAAATTCAGAGAGTCCATAATCTTGCATTGAAGATTCGCTTGCGTCTTAGGTGGGTCCAACGGTCAAGATTCCTGTTGTCAAACAGCAAAGCCTTTGGGCTTGGCTTCAACACTCGCAGGCGACCGGGTTCGCTCCCCGCCCGATGAGCTTTTTGAGTGTAGTCGATCATGTTCATCTATCTTTTTATAAACAACATACCAGAAGCTGTGCAAGAGCAAGATCATTGGCAATACCGCAGAATTCTATTAAGCGTGTTTTCTTCGCATGGACAGCGGGCGAACATGTTTCATCAATGACTCTGAATTTATCACATGCTACTGTAAGTCCTAGCTTGAGCGCTCGACGGCGGGACGACCCTGACTACTATCCAACTGAGTGTTGCTCAAGCTTTGGAATTTAAAAGTCTCGGCCGGATTTCAGTGACAGGGTCGCACTATCTCAGTTGACATTGCGCCTTTCCGTGCATTAAGGACGGTGCCTCCGTGTTCCAGATTACGGACCATCGACATCTACATACTACAGACCCTGAGAGGGTCGCGGTCCAGACCCAGACCTGGGGCATTGCGCTGCAGAGGCCCAGCTCCTGCCCACAAGACACCGAATTCAATTCTGTTCCGTCTGTCGCGCCTGCGCAACCAAAGATTCGGCAAAGTCCTGGAAATCATTCCTCTTGCAGGCCCGGCCAGGCTAATGAAATTTGAGATACTGTCGATTCGATGGACAGCCTTTTCTCTGACCTTGAACGCATAGACAGCCGTTTGTCCGGTTGCTTCTTTCATAGCCACGCGCAGGACAAGGTCGTGTGCGTCGAATGTGCATCGCACAGTCGGCTGCATGAGCACGTTCATGGACACTTTCCATAAAGGTTCACGGCGAAAGACTGGCGATTCTCAGCATCAGCGATCCGAAGAAAAGTTGTTGACACTCACGAAGACGTTTTATGCCAGTCGCTCGGTGAGACAAAAACTTGATGTGTCCGACCATCCCACTGGAGAAGGCGTCGTCACCTTGTTTCACAAAAAGCTTAACCCCTTTGGCCTCGAGGACAACATCTTCGTCCTCTTCACCCGTGGAATCTGGCGGATAAAGGTAGTTAGAATTCAGGTCGCTCATCAGTGGAGATGAGCAGCAAACGCACGAGATTGGACTTGCAAGACGCCCGCCTTCGCAGCCAATAGCGCGGGTGCCTCCTCCTTTTGAGAATCACTGGATTTGTCCTTGATCCAACTCGGTTTCGAAAGGGCTGCGTTCGATGATCCGAATGTTGCCGAAGTTGCGGCCGCAAAACCAGCGAATGCACCTGTAGACGCATTTCGCTGAGCTGAACTGAGCAGCAGCACCAATGTGAAAACTTATGACAGACACTCACAGTCGTCGGAAAAGACGGAAAGCGCGGAGGAGTTTGTGGAAAGGCAAATCGCGGGCCCGGACAGTCGCTGCTCTTTGCTGGGGTTTGGGGAGACACGAGCACTTCCAAAGAGCTCGTCGGCTGCGCTGCTTCCGATATGTTCTCCACAACAGCTGGCACCAGTGACTTGTCGACTGGCCGAGTCTCAGCTGGAATACCAACCTGGAAAATATGAATGCCAATGGAACACATTAGACGGCGCAGAGCGTACCTGCTCTGATTCCTCTTGCGGCGGCTCAGAGTTGTTTCTTCTCTTGTTAGGATAAATGGCTTTCAGATTCTGGTGTGCGCGTTGAATGTGGGCCGGACGCTGAAAGGTATTGGACACACATGTGGATAGCCCATCTCCTATTTCTGAACGTCAGTCACTTGGATCACTACAGAAACCCCAACGGTGCGCACCGGATCTATCTCATCCTCCTCATCCTCGGGTGACCTCTTGCGCTTGAGAACGACAGATTCCAGATCGGGGATCGGGGCGGAGGGTGATTCAACGTCTTCCGGGGTAGCCAAATCAGTGATTTCATCGGCTGGAGGCATAGCTGCTTTTTCGGGAGAATTGATCGAAGTCGCGCTTGTTCCAGACGATGTACTGGGCTCCGCTTTCTCCTGGCTCGATGCGGGATTGGGTGATGACATAGCACGTCTGTAGAAAGGGAAGGTCATTCAAGGCAGAAGTGATCGCGAAGAATATAGTGCACGTTGGAAGCGATCTGATCTTGCGCGCGGCAGTGTAGCCTGCAGTTGCTGCGAGAGTCGCGAGGCCACAAAACACGATAGGCAAACTCTCCACAACCGTCACTGGGAGCATGATAAGCAAAATGTGGGGGTGGGGGGAGACTAGCAAAGTGAGAGGTCAATAAGTCTGGGGAATGTCTTATATGGATGCAGCACGCTGCCTAAGCGTGATTGCTCCGCCTCGAGGTCGTAGATTGAGATACACGAGGCAAACACACGGTTGCTGAGAGATCATCTGAGCGCCTCACCAAGGGCGGCGCGCTCCAAGGGAGTTCAGATCGCGGCGTGGTGCTCAAGAGCGACATCATTAGCCTCGACCATACACTCTTCAATCCCTGCAGAGAGATTCGCACCGATGACAGAGGGAAGACAGAATGAAGCGGCGACACGTCTTCCTTGACCTCTCAACCTTCTGTAACTCCGTGGACAGTGTTGCAAGGCGCGTCGACCCAGAGGAGCGGAGTTGATCTTATTCATCGGTCCCCAGTTATCCGTTCGTAGCCGCCCCGGAATCTCTCTCGCCGTTGCGGAGAATTGGAGATAGCCGAGCAGATTTCCGATCACGTGTCAGAAGAAGTCTACGTGTACCTTCCCCTTTGGGGTATAAATCCGAGTCCTGTGTCTATACCAATCCTTCATCTCCCTCCATCACCATGGTTTACTCGCAGCTTTTGCTGTCTCTCGTGTTGGCCCCCGCGTTTGCCTCGGCTGCCATCTTCCCGAAGGATACTGTGGTGAAGATGCTCGATGCCAAATCCTTCAAACGCGCCATGAAAGCCAACGTCCGTGCTAATCCCGACTGGTCTTTTCATTGACTAGAGCGCTTTGTAGCAAACGAGCATGGTCGCCTTCGTCGCTCCCTGGTGTGGTGTAGGTATATCGTGCTGCTCGAAATCACGTCCTAACTCTTACATTAGCACTGCCAACGTATGGCTCCGGAGTATAGCAAAGCTGCCCTGGGTTTGCACCCTCTTGTCCCCACGTATGCTGTGGACTGTGACGAGGAGAAGAACAAGCGTCTCTGTGCGGAACAAGGTGTTAAGGGTTTCCCCACCGTGAAGGTGAGCGGATCGCAGTGTTTGATCCTAGCACAGCACCCATAACTCTTACAGGTCTTCCCTCGCGGATCTGACGCTCCTCCTATCACTTACGACTCTGGAGAGAGGACAGCAAGTGCTCTGTACTACTTTGCATCCCGGCGCGTTCCATCTGCCTTCAAAAAGCTGTATCAGGTGGAAGATCTGAAACCCTGGATTGAGGAGGTACCATTCGATCTGTCACACCGTACCAATCTCACGCTCTCCAGACTGTCGGACAAACACGAACTCTTCTCTTGACCAAGGACAAGAAAGTCCCACTGTTGTGGAAGGTGCTTGCGAACCAATACAAAGGCCAGCTTGAGTTTGGCACGCACCGCGATCGCAAGGGAAAGGGATCGGAGGCTCTGGGATTCGAAGCTGGCGAGAAGAAAGATTCAAAGGTCCTTGTCTACTCTGCCGGTTCAACAAAGCCTTTCCGATACGAAGGTACGAGGTAATGCGTCAAGTCGCGTAGGCACACCTCATCCCATTTCCAGGGATCAACAAGCTCGACTCTCTTTCCAAATTCTTCGACTCGGTTATCGACGGATCCGCAGACCTGGCCGTGGCCAACGAAGAGGCCAAGGCTGAGGAGTACAATCCCACAGAAGAAGAGCTGGAGATCCAGCGCAAACAAGAGGCTCAAAGGATCGCTCTCCTCCACGGAGGATTTGCAAGCCTGGTTGATTTTGAGAAAGCTGTCCTTTCCGGGGATGCTGCAAACTACCACGATATCAATGGCTTCGGTTCACCTCCCGCTGCCAAGAAAGAGACGCCACCCGAGACTGTTGCTGCTCCTGAGCCCACACCCGAGGCGCAAGTGGGCAAGGACGAGTCTGAGCTGTAGTGCAGACCAGATCTGTGTACTTATTCATCGTCGCTCTATTGTTATTCATATGGGGGTCGTTCATGAGATTTGTCATATTTCGGTTTCTGAGCCGATTGTGCGGAGATCGCGTCGAAGTCTGGAGAACACTAGAGAAGTATCCGTTGCGTATTACACACCGATTGTCAGCAGAGAGATAATTCGCACCAAATAAACACCTAATTTAGATTTGCAATACTTACACTTCCCTAGTTTCTACTACCGCGTCGCTGCTCTGCGAAATCCCGAATGGCGAAGAAATCGGGAAAAGCAAAGAAACCGACCACGGTAGATCCCGTGCCCCAGGCTAACGGGTGCGTGTGCCGTCAAACGCAATCATTCTTGCTCACGGGCTTGCCGCTTCGCAGAGAGGAATCAATGTCGTCAGCAAGTACCAGCACCCCTGCGGTCGAGGCGGATCCTTCTCCAATCTCTGCACCGGAATCCGAGGAAGAAGGCGATGTCCTCGTGCGGGCGGAGAAAATGAAGGAGGAAGGGAATGTGCAGTTCAAGGCGAAGAAGTACGATGAAGCGGTCGCGCTGTACACCAAGGCTATAGGTAAGCGTCAGATTCACTTCATTTCTTATCCCGTCCTTCGCCGATTGAACCTCCGCCGAAGAGTTGAATCCGAATGAGCCTGCATACCTTACGAACCGCGCTGCTGCGTACATGGCCGTGAAAAAATTCCGGGCTGCTTTGGATGATTGCCAGACTGCGGCTCAGATCCAGGCAGCGGCACCTTCTGCGAAGACGCTTCTCCGGCTAGCCCGATGTCAATTTGCGCTCGGATCGACAATCCCTACGCTCTCTACATTGAGGACAGTCCTCTCCCTGGAGCCCAAAAACGCTGCAGCACTACAACTGCAGAGCAAGATCAATGTACTTGAAGGTCACTTGAACACGTTCGAAGGAGCTCGATCGAAGAAGGATTGGGGGCTCGCACGATTGGCGCTCGATAAGTGCCTGCAGGGCATCGAGAGTGAGGGTGGCGAAACACCTCTCGAATGGCGTCTATGGCGTGTGGAGCTGGAATTAGCCCGTGGTAACTTCGACGCAGCCAATAACGCGGCAAAGTGCGTCTTCTCATCGCCCGCGCTCCTCCCGTTATTAATCTATGACTGAAGCGATGCGTTGCGGAACAACTCGAGCTCGTGCGAGGTATTGACCACACGGGCCCTCGTTCTTTTCCTAAGTGGGCGACTGCCCCAGGCCATAAGCCATGTGCAATCCGCATTGCGCAACGACCCTGGTTTCGAGCCTGCACAGAGGTTACGGAAGCGTGTGAAGGAGGTCGAACGGCTCAAAGAGGAAGGAAATCAGGCTTTCAAGTCTGGTCGACTCGAAGAGGCTGTTCAGAAATATACTGAAACTCTTGAGGTGTGTGTATCCTCACGACTTGCTGGATGTCGTTCTGCAGCTTGCATCGGTGTTAGCGTATTGGTTCGGCTGAGGAGGAGGGAAAAGGCGGACAGATCCGTGCAACTCTTTTGTCGAACCGGGCGACAGCGCTCGTGAAGGTACGATCTCAGTTAGACGCCTTGGACCTGCGTTGACCCAATACTGCAGCTCAGTCGATACGAAGAGGCCCTCCAGGACACCACCACCTCACTGCAGCTTGCCCCGGCATCTTTCAAAGCACTGCGCACTCGAGCTCGTATCAATCTGCACATGGAACAGTACGAACAGTCGATCGCGGACTTCCAAGAAGCCATTCGCCAGGCGCAGAGCGATGCCAACTCCAGTGATGCCGAGGTCCGAGCACTTCGCTCAGAGCTGAAGAAGGCCGAGGCTGCTCTCAAGCGAAGCAAGACAAAAGATTACTATAAGATCCTTGGAGTGGCAAGAGACTGTTCGGAGGCAGAGATCCGGAAAGGCTACAGGCGCGAGAGCTTGAAACACCATCCAGACAAGGTGAGGGGTTCTCCGTGTCTCTTTTCTTGGTCTCAAAGATTGCCATACGAAGGGTGGTGACGAGGAGAAGTTCAAGCTCGTTGTCGAGGCGAACGCGGTGTTGTCTGATCCTCAACGTCGAGAACGTTACGATAACGGAGACGACGAAGACGGCATGAATGAATCCGGAATGGGCGGCATGGGTGGTATGGGTGGTGTCGATATCAGTGAGCTTTTTGCCCAGTTCAATGGCGGAGGCGGAGGCGGATTCCACGGCGGCGGCTTCGGCGGCTTTCCTGGAGGGGGAGGTGGTTTCCGTTCTGCCGGCGGCTTTCCAGCAGGTGGTCGAGGCCATTCCCATGGCTTTGGCTTCTAGAATGTTGTGTATATACCCAGCTTTCGCAGATGTATATACTAGATCTTCTTGCCCCCATCTATCTCATCGATCGGATCAAATTCGGAGCGTGTGCCGTGACACCTGCACGTGGGCAGTCAGGACCAAACTTTGGCCAAACGCCCAAACTTTCCTGTCGCGTCCACGACCCTGATTCTTCACGCTCCTTGCTGAGATGTTCAACCTCATCCGCCGGATTTCGAGCTCTGTGATCCCGCGCCCGGACCGGCCCTGGGAGGACGATGGTGAGTGTCCCTTTCATTGCATCTCCAACAAGCTCTTGTGAATTACGCGTCTTTTCGAGGCGTTTCCTGGCCCTTGTCTCCACTTCAATGCTCTGGTCTCTAAGGCAAATACTGAAATCATCCTTAGCGACGTCGAACGCACCCCACGTTGGCAAGAAGCGGCGGATGACGGACGACGATCGTGACGACGACGACGAGCAAGCACGCCAGAAAAGAGCCAGAGCTATAGCTCCGGACGCCGCCGAGGACGAGGCCCGCGGCAGCTCGGCCGCGCCTCAGTCCCAAGTTCCGGACACATCCGACGTCAAAGAGGTCACGAAGGGTGTTAAAGAAGTAGAGTTGGAGGATAAACCGGCACCAGAGAGCGTGCCGCTCCCTGATGAGGAGGAGACCGGTGAACTGGAGCCAGAACTGGATTCAAAGGCGGAGGAGGAAGCCTCCCCCAGATCGGCAGCACGGCCTGAGACCGCCGCTGCTGAAGGCGAATCAGTACCCCAAGATGATCCGAAACTCGAGACCACCGCGCCTGAGGACGTCGCGCAAACTGCTGTCGTGGACATTGCCACTGAAGAGCCGGAGCATCCAGTTGGTGATGCTCCTTCCACGAATGGCTTGAACGAAATCGAAGCCAAAGATGAGACGACAATAGCCGAAGCAGAATCAACCATCGCTCAAAAGCCGACGGCCGTCACGACAAGCGACGACGATGAATGAATCTGGCAGTGATATCTGGCATGGTTCTACACGATTTACCCCTACCATTATTATCTTTTTGCTTTTGTACGCCCCTCTGAGGAGAGACGTTGTATCTCCCTGCTTTGTTTCTTGCTTACTCGATCACTGGTACCCAATTTGTACACATAGGATGCGGACGGCTAATGCGCAAGTCTCCTTGTTCTTCGACATGAACTAGGCTTGGGACTGGGCTTTTGAACGAACAAAGAAGCTTCCAGAGATACGAAATGCTATCAGACTTGTGATCGAAAAAGTCGACCATCCGTTGAAAGCCGTCTGCACCATTTGCAGAGCTGTTCCACAGGAGAGCAGCCTCGCAGACGAACCTCTTTGAGCTCCAAGACCCGAGGTAGAGGTCGTCCTTGGAGCGTTTCTCAGAGAACAATCATGCAGAGAAGCTCTAGGCTTGAACAGTAGGAAAGATGTCATTGGGAGTATGAGAAATATGCAGCGAAGCTCAAGGCAGACGGCGTCGTCCGCGGTAGAAACCTCGGAAGGTGCAAGTACGAAGTGCCTTCATCCAATCGCGAGTAAGCAATCAACTTCAAATGTTCCGAAGGAGAAGCTTGACGGGACGGGAGCGGGGCATGAGCACACAGCGATCGACCATCTAAGGCCCGGTCTGGCCCCGTGCTGGTGATGCGGAATGGCCGCAATGAGTCAGCTGATGTTACGATTCCTCGCTCGGCAACTTCCAACACCTCTTCCGGACCGGTCATAATCGGACAGCGCCAAATCGTAATGGCATGCATTCTCTTTTACCATCCATGCCCCACTTCTGGTCCAAGGGCCACGCCGATGAGGCGTCGACTAGCTCTGCCAAGGATTTGAAAGAGACCCAGAGGATCGAAATCGTGGTGGACAATCCCTACCTCACGCTCCGAGGGCACGGATCCGACGTGGAGCCTGGCGTCCTCTCTGGAACGGTTGCGCTCTGCCTCGCCGAGGCGACGGATCTGCGCTCCGTAACGCTCGAGTTTCGCGGCGAAGCATACCTCCCTCTGGCAGTCACATCCAGCCAAGACGCATTCATCGGAGATCCTCCCACGGAGTATGTCTTTTGCCATCACAAATGGTCGTTTCTCGAAGGCGGGAAGAAGCACAACCACACTCTCAAGGCGGGCCGACATCTCTTCCGATTCGAGCTGCAGGTGGGCGGCAGCTTGCCGTGCAGCATCGCCACGGACATCGGCGGAGGAGCGGGGATCGTGTATAAGCTACGGGCGGTTGCACATCGCGCCGGGCTGAGTCATAACCTGCAATGCGTCATACCGGTGCACTGCATCCGTGCGCTTGTCCCCGACGCATTGGAGTACCAGCAGACGCGCGATGTCGAGAGTCTCTGGCGGGATCAGCTGATGATGTCTGTGGCCATGCCTCATTGCGCGTGGGGCGTCGGAGACGAGTTCGTGTCGTTGCTAAAAGTATCGAGGCTGGTGAAAGGTGCCGGACTGCTCAGTGCTACGATCACTTTGAAGGAGAAGACGCATATATTCGACCGGACCACTTCCTTCACACGACCAGTGGCTAGCGTGTCATACGACATTGTAGGAAACAAGGCAGTACCGGTTGCGCCAGGGACTCCGAGACGCTCGAACTCCCGGTCCAGTGGGGACCGCTCGATTACCCATCACCGCGGCTCACCGTCGCCTAGTATTCGGGCCTCCACCAGCTCAGCCAGGCCAGAAGCTAACACGAGCAGTTCCGAATCAGGTCATTCAACTGCAGATTTCCAGGACGATGAGCACACCGAATTGGTGAGCAAGATTTGCGTTACTGTCTGTGCCGTCTTTGAAGATAGCTGTAGTCCATACCTCTTCGGATGCGGATTCCTCTGAACCTCACTCCCAGCCACACTCTCGTGCCCCTGAAGATCGAGCACACGATGTACTGGACACTAACAGTGATGTCGGCGAGTGGAGACATTCTCGATCTCTCTTGCCATATGAATGTGCAGCTGCTCGACACTCATCTTCTCAAAGAAGTGCGATCCCACACTAGGGCTGCCCGAAAGCTGTTGGTTGGGAGCCCAAGCTCGCCGCTCGCCGGAGAAGACGATCCGAACTATCTACCGAGCTACATGGCTCATGTCCGGGACCGGGTCGCGAACATCTATCTCACTGATACCAACTCGATGCGGGTGCCGAATCCTTGGCTAATACTAGGATTGGAGCCGATTCCAAATTCGGACCACGATACGGAAGTGAACGCACGGGCGATGGAGCAAGCGGACACTGAAATTATCACCGATGCTGACTCGGATGACGATGAGGAGCAACAGTACAATCGGAATCCTGTTGCCATTGACTGGGCGAACTCGGAGTTGATGATATCTCAGGGATTGACGCGTCTGTCATCTCCGACTCCCAGCGCGGACGAGTTGAGTCTTGCTGGCAGTGGCCGTTCCATCTCAGACCATCCAAGTCCCACCATGGTGCAAGATATACCTACGTACACGCATAACACGCACCACAACGCAGCCGGTCTTTTCACGATCAAAATGGAATCCGCCAAAGCCCATTCGCACTGGCCCGCGATCCCTCAGCGGTATGAAGCGCTGGGCAAGGAAGCGGTGAAGGAGATGGCCGACCCGAACCCCCACTCGCCCTTGCGCACAGAATTGGAGCCGACACTCCTCCCGCGTGCCTTTGTCGAAGTTCCCACATACGACAGTGCTGTTCATGCTTTCTGCGGCGCTGTTCCCCCCCTCACTAGTCTGCAAGGCTTGCCGTCCTACCAGGAGGCTGCCCAGAGTCCAGTGTAGAGGACATCGCATATACAATATCTGTAGCCTACGCGCATTCAATCACCATTTTGTGATAACTGCTGGAGACCCAACTAACTCGACGTGCAGTATAGTAGACACGGTCACTGGTCAGAATATGTCGTTGCACAGCCACGCGGACTGCCCGAAATAGGTAAGAGCATACGCGTCGCTCTTGTCCACTTGCTCTTTCAACCCACAAAATGGCAGACTCAGATTCTAGACGCAACTCCGCCCGCGGGTTCCGTCCATCGGGACCGGTGCGTGTCGGGCGGATCGGCGGCTGGTCTTCGGGTACTCCCGCACCCTCGTCAAGCAGCCACAGCGGCGGCCCACGAATCGGCACCATGCGCGACATCGGATCGGGCGCAGCGTCATCTGCTCCTCGCCCCCCGCCCGGTCAACACCAGGGGCAAGACCACGACGACGAGGACGACGAGGAGTCGGATGAGGACGATGGCGATGAGCGCCAGCCCCAGTCGTATTTCGCCGGTGGAGAGCGCAGTGGGATCAGTGTGCAGAACCCCGACTCTGGCCCGAGGAGGCGCGATGGGCCCGCAGGGATGGTGCGGGATCTCCTGAGACGCGCGGCAGAGTGTGTACCGTCTCATCTTCTGTTGTCCGACCACTCTTCTCATCTGTTTCCCGATCAGAGCGGGCCCCTCGCCCAGCAGCATCGCCGCCACGGCTCCTCCCACCGCGTTCTTCGGCGGCGCGAACACGCTCGGCTCAGATGAGGTGGAAAGTCGGTTCATCCCGGACCCTAACGCGGCACCGACTGAAGGCGACGACGGCGACCTGCCCCGCGTGACGCGTTATCTCACATTCTGGGCGTCTGGTTTCACTGTCGATGCGCCCAACGAGCCGTTGGGGAGTGGGACAGGGACAGGCCTGATGCGATTCGATGATCCGCAGAATGCGGAGGTGCTCGCTGCGTTGCGGCAAGGGTGAGTTATCTCGCCTGTGGGTCATGTATAGTTATGGCGATGCTGATGCCTTCTAGACTCGCGCCGCCCGAGATCCTGAATGTCCTTTCCGGCCAGCCTGTCGAGGTGGTTTTATCCGATCGGTCGCATGAAGAGTATGTCCCCCCACGCACGGTTTGGTCCGGTGGAAACAGATTAGGTGCTGTCGTGCCCGGGCAATGTGAGGGTTCAATACTTCTTGGTCTTTCCTTCGGTTGAATCCCCTTTTCAGCTTCGTCGTCCTCTTCCAGCTCGGCAATGCCCGGCTCCTTCACTAGCGCTGCATCCCCCGTTCAGGCTTCGACCGCTGCTCCAACTGTGGATGCATCCCAACCAGTGGCACAGATTCAAGTACGCCTTGCTACCGGCGGTCGACTCGCCGCGCGACTGAATCACACACACACCGTGGCCGATCTTCGCGCTTTCATTGACTCTCAAGGGTGAGTCGACCAATCCAGGAAGGAACGAAGCCTCTGACCGATCATTAGGGGTGTGCAACAGCAATACATTCTGCAGACTACGTTCCCCACGAAGGAGCTGAACGATGATCAGACGATCTCGAGTGCGGGGTTGGCGGGCAGTGTCGTCGTGCAACGGTTGGTTTGATTAGACACTAGAGGTTTGTATAGACTTCCAGCTGCCACTCAATCACGGGCTTGCGCTATTTCCATCGAATGCCAATGGATACGGGGGGGAAAGAGGTATATCAAATCTCCCTGTCTGTCACGACGATCCCAATCTTAGCCTCGACGCCACCTTCAGCATGATTGTCGTGGGTGATCAATTCCAGTTCAAGCTGGAGAGCCGAATCGGACTCGAGGTCTAGCCCCCAATAGCGGCTGTGCAGATCCATGCACACTTGCGTCTCCAAGCGGATTGATACAGCACGTCATGGACGCATACAGCTGACCACAGGTGTTGCTTGTGAAGTATGGTGGTTGTGAGGGAACCGAGAGACTTATCGTCCATGTGAAAGCCATTAGATAGGGAACCGGATGTCAAAGACATCTTCATCTGATCTGATGAAAATCTGGTCCCGCGGAAACTCATGAATAGACCGGGGCAATCCTCAAGGAAAGCTATACTTGGAAAGTCATAAATAAACTCGTATTGGCCGACGCACGATGTTTCACATCCTTTCTGAGTCGAGCTCCCATCCAAAAATGTAGTCTCTGCAACATAGGGATCAGCCGCGGATGAGAGTCCAGTCTTTTGGACGCAGCTCCTGCTCGCTTACGTGAATGATTAAACTCCATTTGAGGCTCGTTGCAGCAACATTGCCGGCCGGATGATCTCTCTCCCATCAAAGCTTAGTCACAATGTTCAATGAAACCCCGGCTCGTGTATGCATTACTATTTACTTCAAAACTTCTGAGACCATTATGAAATCCCCTTGTCACATTAAAGATAGTGGTCGTTCGTTCGGTGGATCAGTTGCAGTCAGCAACCACGTCGTTTCCGTCTTGGATCGCAGCGGCGAGCTTCGACTGCGCATCAGCCAGGGTCTGGTTCACAGTCGGGCTACAGAAGCGCGCAGCATCAACACAAAAAAATCGTCAAGAGAACACAGAGACGCACTCGTTGATTCCGCTCAGCGCGGTCTGCGCGTCCGTGAGTCCCTTCTGGACCTGGGTGCGCGCCGCAGCGGGGGGCGTGCCGCCGGTGATCAGCGCAAGGGCGATCTGCGCGATACCGGCGCTGGCGCTGGTGAGGCCCGCCTGGGCGGTCTTCACGCTCGCGGCGGTCGCAGGGTCGGCCGTGTTGATGTTTGCGACGGACACCCCGGTCTCCGCGAGCGTGGTCACGATGTTGAAGCGGTCAAGGCCACAGCCGCTCAGGCCGAATAGGGGCGCTGGGAGAGTGGCTCGTCAGATGGGCTGCTCCCGGGGGACAGTCTGGTACTCGGCACGTACCGGCCATGGTGCTGGAGGCGACGAAGAGAGCAAAGAAGGCGGAGAGACGAGCCATTGCGATTGAATTCAAGAACAACAAGGAGAAGAAGAGAGATAGGTGGTCTGGAGAAGAATAAAGCAAGAGTCAAGACACCAGGTCAAGCAAGCGAAGGAGAATGAGGATCCTGCGCTGCGCCTGCCTCCCTTTATAGGCTGTGAATGCCATCCGATAACACGGGCATTGTACAGCTGTGCAGAAGATAGTGCGAGAATACTGACCGTTGTCATGTCTCGACACAGACATGCAGTCCCCGCCAGCCTCGACATGCTCCGAACCTGCGGCAGGTCATGTGTAAATGGATCATTTCCCATGGGAACGGATGATCGACTGAGCCAGACGGAGACACATTGCGGCATCCACAAGCGTCTTCCTCGTGGATCGTGCTTCTCAGGAGAGTGTGTGTCGCTTGTAAACCATCTCGGACCCATTTCATTTCCGACCAACTCCCTGGGGCAAGGTTTATCGAAGCGTGAAGGAGATGTGGACGAGGATATAACATCATTCGATCAAGAGGCTGTCTAACGTTAGTCCGCCTGGCAATTGAGCCAGTAAAGACGTAAGAGACCAGTCTCGCAGGGAGAAAAAGAAGTACACTGGCCAACGTGGGGATCGAACCCAAGACCTTCGCGTTATTAGCACGACGCTCTAACCAGCTGAGCTAGTCGGCCGATGTCGTAATGAGTGAGAAATAATTTGTGACTCTCATGACCTGTTCGTTGACATACGATCACTATCTGCTAATCTACATGAAATCTATAGCACGTTTCCTCCCTTTCGGCAAGATTTCAGGATTCGGCGCCACGGATCCGCCGACATTGACATCAAGAGACGGACTGGCCGCACGGGCCTGTACAACAGCGGGAACGGGCTTCTCGACCCACATCGCGTCGTCGTCGACGTCCTCGGCGGCGTCCTTGCGCTTCTCCTTCCGTCTCTTCTTCTTGCTCGGCTTCTCTTTGGGCGTGATCTGCAATCCGCCCGCCGCGCCGTCGTCGTCGTCCTCGAATGACACCAGCACGCGATTGGTCCTCTCTTTCCTGTCCCGCTTTCTGCTGTCCCGTTTCTTGTCGGTGTCCTGCGTTCCATCCGCCGCTTTCTTGCCTTTTCCGTCGCGCGGGATAAATGTCGGCTTGAATGTGGCGAGATCGACCGGCCCTTCTTCGGCTGGGGGTACCGTTGGCGGCGGTGCTGCTGCCTCTGGCATAGACACGTCCTCGTCCGCTAGCTTGGGCTCGTCGACAGCCATTGGTTCCGGGTCGGGCTCCGGGTCTTTCGCCGGTTCCTCGTCGTCGCTGTCTTCGTCGTCGCTTGCGAAGATCGCTTTGAAGACATCCATCGCAGGCCGTTGATAGGTAAGAGTGTCTCGTCCTTGAGACTCGTCTTCTCCCAGCCCGATGTTCGCCAAATCCCGAGGCCCTCGCGACCCAGACCCAGAAGTTCCAGCAGATGAGGATCCTGCGGCTGCTGCGGAGCTGAACTGTTCCCAAGCACCACCGCCAGCAGAGGTTGCGGCACCCGGCTCCGCGGCCGAGCTCTCGTCTTCCGCCGGGGCGGGGTTCGGGTCCTTCACCTTGAACCGTTTGCACAATAATCGCGCTGGCTGCCAGGGCACCGACTCCCGGGTCATCGGGCCGTACATCCCGTGTCGCGCTGCATTCTGCTTGGGCGTAACCCTCTCCTCCGCCATCTTCCGCACCTCGGCCTCCTTTCTCGCGTGGTCCTCCGCAGTGGGTGTATACAGCCCTTCTTTCATCTGCGGCCCGTGCTCGACGACACTAGCGGACTGGAACCGGCCTGCCATGGCACCGGAAAGCGGCTTGAACAGGAGTGCCGCCTTGGCATAGTCTTCGAGTTCTTTGTTGTATTCGTCGATGGGTTGATGCGGAAGCAACTTGGGCGCTGCTGGGGCGCTGTCCGAGCCAGTCTGTGATTCCAGGTACGTCGTGTAGCGTGCCTGTTTGTCGGCGTTCGTAGCGAAAGGGACGAATCCCCCCTGCAATGCAGCGAGTGCAATATGAGGTTCCGTGCGAGGGATGACAATGGAGGCCGGTGGCGGAGGTAACGAGGGGCCCGGAGCCTCTGCATCCGTCTTGGACATGTTTTGGATACGGTCGCGGTCCTTTTGCGACATGTAGTCGAATACTGACCGAGGTGCCGAAGGTAGCGGCGTTTCGCCGAGGATAGCCCCCCGCTGGGAATGGTGAGTACTGGTCTGACGCTATGCTAGAACTCACTTGATCTGCCGTTATACTGTCTCGCGCGCGTTTGTCCAGGGGAGGTGGAGCGCTAGCAGTGTGATTACTGTTTTCCTTGTCCCATACACGCCGCGGATCTGGCTTCCATCCTTGGGGTATCTCTGGCATCGGGAACCTACGTACGTTGAGTACGATGGTCTCGTTTGTTAGTTATATTTCGTACCATCGGTCCTCTGAGACAGGTTTGTCGGATAAGACAAAACCAGCTAGTACAGGTTGTCCGTCGGGAAAGACTTGCGAAGGGACAACTGGAGGCTAATTCACAAGTCAGACTTGCCAACATCAGAACCAAAGTACGTACCGCTGGGCGAGAGGCATCCCTCTTGGTGCCAATCGAAATCTTATCCTCCTCTTCCCGGTCAATGATGTCATAGGCAGTACGATTCCGGCCTTGCGTTGTATTTCCTCCATCATACACATCCAAGTCATCTTCGTCCGCGTCGTTCAGAGCACCCAGTCCAAATCCAGCTTCCTAAGTGTAAGCAGAGAACATTGATTTTTCAATGACAGCGACGCACCGGAAATGTTGGGTCCTACTTTGGCACCAGTAGCACTGCTAGTACTCTCATTCAAGCTCATCCCCGGTCGATAACCCAGCCCGTGCAAATTGTCTTTGCGGTCAACGACCAGCACGGCAGTATCCCTCGGAGCATAAGTGTGCTTATCGGCCTCGGCATGGTCATCGGGCAGGCCGAGTTCAGCTTCGGTCACATCGCGTCGACCGGCGGCTTGCAGATCCTGCAGACGCCGTTGACGAAGCGTGATTCGCGGGCCGATGCCCTGGCCAATTTTCCAGCCCATCTTCTTGAGGATGCGTGCACCTGCGGAGTCTTTCGCTGCAGGAAGCATGGATGACTCGAGTGCATGAGCGACGGAACTGGAACCTGGCTTGAGATACGAATTGAAGGAACTAAGAGAAACGCACTCTTGTTCCTTATCGTCCCCGCGGCTGAGCCCAGAGCCTGCGGTGAGATCCATCTCCTCCGTTGTATCGACGATATTCCTGCTGTCCTTGATGTCCTGGAGATCTTCATCGTCCATGAAGTCCTCTGGCCGTGAGGCTACTTTCTTCTTCGACCGGTCGGCGCGTGAGGATACGAATGTCGAAGGTGCCCATCCTAGAAGCTTGGTTGAGGTTGCGCAGCGATGAGACCCAGAGTGCCCGTCGCACCTTCTTTAGAGCCAACAGTGTTGAAGTAACCCGCCGAGAAACCACCAGTGAACGCGCCATGGAGCCTCCGCCGTCCTTTCTCGTCCCTCACCTACGACCCATCAGCAACCAGCCATCTCGGAGCCACATAACGCGTACCTCTTGCTTCCAAAGAGGCACGAATTCGCCAGTGTCCCTCGACTTTTCCAGTGGGGGCAAGGGTGTTCCGATCTATACAGCAGGAAACAGAACTCAATAGAGATAACGAGAAAAATTTGGGGCTTTACAAGGCAGAAAGACTCATTCGCCCGGGCACTGGCTGGGTCTATGCCCAGATTGCCTAATTTCTTCTTCAGGCGGGAGGTCATGGTGAGGTTGTTTGATGGTGTTGTGGCAAGCCTGACCTGGATCTCAAGATTCCCCGGGCCAGTCCCATCCATTGTCTACTTATATCCATTCCCTCGCGTCTGCGGATATCTGCGCGCACGGGTCGTCGCAGTCTCGAATGGCTTTCGACATCTCTTTTCACCGCTATGCATCAAGACAACGATCCGGACTCTCCGACCCCACGGACGCAGAGTGGACACTGCGGCCTTGGTTGTCCAGGCCCCAATACTATTGAGACACTCCTCTCGGCGCTCATTTCCTGGATCATACAACTTCAGAGTCGCGAGCTGCAGCGGATTCGGGGCCTACGGCCTAGTCTATCAATCGTTTTATACATACCTTCGCGTTTGGGCCCAGCCCCTATGTTCATCATAGCGCCCGCAACAATCAGACGCGAGGCTCTCATCTTTGATTCGCGGCTCACGACTCGTACCAACGGCGGTGGACTCCGATAAGATGCGCCTTTTCTTGCTTTTTCCTTTCGCCTTGGCCGCGCCAGCCTTTTCTTTTGCCTCGTCCCAGCTTTCCTTTTCTTTCCTTATCTTTTCTTTTCTTGATTTCCTCCGTTTTCTTCCCTTCGTATGGAGTATTCGAAAGAGTGGCGGGGCCACAAAACACCTCAAGAGATCGTCGAAACCGTAGCAAGTGACGACCGATATGACTTTGACTTCCACGACTTGGACCGGGTGCAGCGGAGGTTGAAGCAGCGCCATGTGCAGATGTACGTATCTCAAAGCTTCAAGGGAATTCGCTGAACTGGGTCTGTGCTACTAGGATCGCGGTAAGCACTGGAGTTCAAGTTGTCGTATCCTCGCATGTGGACATATGTGTGCTTCTTTAGATCGCAGGCACCATCGGAACAGGCCTGTTTCTTGGCTCCGGCAACGCGCTCCGAGTGGCGGGCCCTCTCGGGTCTCTCGTCGCGTACGCATTGGTTGGAACAGTCGCGTACTCGTGCGTCACGGCCAAGCCAACGTGCAGATCACGATAAGTACTGACCGCATGCAGGTCGCTGTGTTGCGTAGGAGAAATGACAACCTGGGCAGTGAGTCCGAATTTGCCGCCGCCCGGAGTCGGAGACAAGGCTCACCCGATGTCAGCCCATCTCTGGCACGTTTCCGCACTATGGTTTGTCACTCTCTGCGTCGTGGGACCGAATCTGCGTAATGATCGCTGGATAACAGCCGCGCGTTGGGTGGATCCCGCATTCGGGTTTGCCGTGGGATGGAACTATTTTTACGCCAACGCGTGAGCGAGGTTGTCTCGAAATCGCTATCGCCTCTCCTGACCGAACGTCAGGACTGCCATTCCGGTGGAGATATCTGCGGCTGTGATCCTGTTGACCTTTTGGGATAGTAATGTGAGAGGTGTCTCATTTGTAACGTTGGAGGCTCATGCGTTATTTAGCCCAATCATGCAGCTATCTACACCGCGGTAAGACTGATAACTTTTGCAGTTTTCAAGCACGGCCTCACAAACGTGCAGCTTGTTGCGATATTGATCTGTGCAATCAACATCTTTGGCGTTCGATACTTTGGAGAATGTATGAAGCTAGTCTTGCTTGGACCGATATGCTCACGCGTTCTTAGCCGAGTTCATTTTCTCCATTTCGAAGCGTGCGCAATTCAGCCGCTTTGACGCGTGTGTATTGACTGGGTTCAGTTGTTGTTATCACCATCATTTTGGTAACCGGGCTCGTCGTTGATCTCGGGGGGTCTCCAAGTCATGAAGTTGTCGGTTTCAAGGTGAGTATCATTTCCGGGTATCGTCGCAAGCTCGATGTCTGAATGTTCACATATTCAGTTCTGGACGAACCCTGGTGCTGTGAATCGAGCTGGACTGGTGTCAGACCTTGGAGCGGACCGGTTCTTTGCCATTCTGAATGTAGTCATCCAAGCGGCGTTCTCTTTCCAAGGCATTGAGACGGTGTGCATCGCTGCTTCCGAGATGGAAAAGTGAGTGTCTCCCCTGAGCGAATGAGGTGCCAGAATTCGATGTGACATCTAGCCCTCGCCGCAACATCGCCAAGGCCGTCAAGAGGGTGTTCTATCGTATCATCATCTTCTACGTAAGAGTTTGGTCTATGGAGCCCGCATTGACTGACGATTCATTTGATCAGATGCTCGGAATACTGATGATTGGCATGCTTGTTGCCTATGATAACCCTGCGCTTCTGTCTCGTGTCGGGACTGCAGCTCAATCGCCCTTTGTGATTGCATTGAGCAGTGCTGGCATCAAAGGTTGGTAAAGGTCTTCGTTGCTTTGCTGCAATGAGTGACGATTTCCCAGCTTTTCCGCACATTGTAAATGCCGTCATCTTCACCAGTGCCTTCTCAGCGGGCAGTAGCGCGGTGTTCAGCAGCTCCCGGGTGTTGTATGGCTTGTCTATCCGAGGACAAGCCCCTCGCTTCTTGGCTTTCACCACCCAGCAGGGGCTGCCTATTGCCTCTGTGATGGTTTCGGTACGTTCAAACGCAGGGATCCGTGCCGAGACTGAGATGATGTGTGACCAGTGCGCATTTGCGTTGATGGCGTTCATGACAGTATCATCAGGGGCAGACACGGTCTTCAATTGGTTCGTGTACGTCTCGACGACAGGTGGATCTATCGGCTGGTTCTCGATCAACCTGACGTATCTCTACTTCTATCGTGGGATGACTGCTCAAGGCTACGACCTCAAGAAAAACATCTATAGCAATCCCCTGCAGCCCTACCTCTCGTACTGGGGCATCGGATGGACTGCGTTCTTCACACTGGCCAACGGCTATGCTGTGTTCTTCAAGTTCGAAACATCCATCTTCTTGACAGCATGTGCGCTCCCTCCCCCAATCGGTATTCCAAGTGAATCTCATCCTCCTCTCCTCTGTAGACATCAACATTCCCATCTTTCTCATGCTCTACCTCGGCTACAAGTTGATCTACAAGACTCGAGTCTGGAAACCACTCGAGATGGACTTCGTGACGGTAGGTTTCCACAACTTTCCAGAGTGATGTGGGACTTGGGAAACCTGATCTTTCCCCAGGGCATCCCGACCGTGGAAGAGACGGAACTCCCACCGGAGCCTGCAGACACGTTCTGGGCAAAAGTGGGAGATTTCTTGTTCTGAGATACTAGGGCTATGTTGTATATGCTCTGTTGTAAGATTATTGTTGTAAGTTCGTATATACCTATTAGACTCGGGATGTCCCAATCACCAAGTCGTTTATTTCGTGGGCTTCTTCAGCCACCCAGCCAAAGTGGTTTGCTTTCCAGCCCCCTGTCTCGTGCTTTTGGCCGGTGTCGAAGGTTCCTTGGCTTCCTCTTCAGGCGATGTTGAGGTTACTAACGATGGCGGCGAACCGGACTATTGGTGCCTCAGCCATTGTGAGAGGGCATATCTCGAGAAAACCCACCTGAGCATTTATAGGCTCCAACGGGGGCATAGGAAAATCACCCCGCAATCGCTTCTTACGCATTTCCTCGTAGTCGATTACTTCCACCTCCTCCAGTTTGCGCTTCTTGCTAGGCTTCGAGCCCATGGCTGCAGGCGCGATTTGGGACGAGCTAGAGGCCGGGCCGCCGAAGGCGTTGCAGATCATCATATCGAATAACATCCGCATAGCCGCGTCGTTGAACGGGCCCCCGCCCTCGCCGTATTCGCGGTCGCCGAATTCACGGCCCTCGTAGCCGTCGAAAAGGCCACCCGCCATCTTTTTCTTGCGGGTGCCTGTGGCTGTTTTTTTGATTGCAGGGGTCGACCTCCGCGACGCGGGGCCCTGGTGCTCTTCCAAGACGGCCTGGAAGAGGCGCATTTTCCCGGCGCTGGAGAGATCTGCCTTCGATGAGGAAGTTCTTGCAGATGGCGCGTCCTGTGCGCCCTTCTTCACGGTCTGCTTCGCCGCTGCGTCCGCTCGACGCACAGCAGCAGTTTCTTCCTCTTGACGCTTGATGACCGCCTCAAGCGGCTTGCTGTCGAAAAGGGCGAGGCCTCCTTCGCGAGAGTCGCGTCCGGCCTCAACAGCGGCAGCACGCTCCTTCCTGCGCGCCTTCTTCCGCTTCGTCTTTTCGCGGCATTGCTCGCAGGTGAGCAGGGTCTGGGTTTGGGGGACTGGGCGACGGCACTGAGTGCACGGCCGCGTAGAGGAGTTGGAGTTGAGGTTGTTCATCGCGAGGGCGATCTGCAGATTAGATGGGCGCTTCATGGCGAAGAGGAACAGAGAGTTTGTACGGGGTGAGGGAGAGCGTCACAGTGACACAACGCGTCCGTGACATTTATTTATTGATGTTTTCTATGAATCGACCGACTTGAAGGACGAGATCGTCGCATCCCCATTGACCGACTACGCTGATACCTACGGGCCATTGCGAGCCAGTGATGGGAAGCGGCACGTTCAGGGCCGGCAACCCAGCCAGAGAGGCAGGGACGGTCAAAACATCTTGCACGTAATTAGAGACGTTGTCAGTGTCCACGTTCGAGAGCCCGGGTGCAGTTTGAATTGCGGAAGGATGGAGTAGCACATCGACGCCAACTTCTTGAGAGATTTGCGATGGGAATAGCATATTTGGGACGCGGAATGCGCGATTGAAGTCCTCCCTCACGAGCTGGCGAACTCGCTGTGCTTGCAGGAAGTAATTGTCGAATGCGCTGCACGGTTGGTGAGAGGGGGAAGAACGAAGATGCATTTCACACACTCGGCGGACAAGGCATAGGTCCCCAGCAGTATTCGTTTCTGCACCTCGGCCCCAAACCCCACCGAACGCGTTTGAGCGTATATACTGGCAGCATTTCCTGTAGAGTCACCTGCCACCTGGAGGCCATACTGGACTCCGTCATATCGTGCCATGTTGCTGCTAGCCTCGGCACTAGATAGCACATAGTATGCGCTCAGTGCATATGCAGTCGACGGCAGGGAGACGGGCACAACAGTAGCCCCAGAAGCTTTGAGAGCATGCACCGCTTGTCGGACAGGTGACGCAACTTGTGCAGAAAGTTCAGCAGGAAAGTATTCCTGGGGAATACCTATGCGCAAGGAGCGCAAGGACGAATCAGGCCATAACCGAGTGGCGGCTTCTGAAGCTTGCAGTCGAATTTCGGGTGGTGCCGATGTCGGATCTCGGTAATCATGCACATTAAGAACGTCTGGGAGAAAATTAAAGCCAGCGAGGGGAGCTTGACATGAAATGCTTGCCGAAGAAGCGTTTTGTGGTTGCCGTATTATTCGCGATGACCCCAACACAATCCAAGCTATCCGCAAAGGAAATCACTCCCCATCTTCGCAGTTGAGTTACGGTGGAAATGTCTTCTTGAGGTTGCATACCTGCTCAGAAGCCCGTATGAGGGCTTTAATCCAACAACTCCACAATAGGATGCGGGCAAACGTGTTGAACCGCCAGTGTCCGTCGCCAGGGCACTACATAGTCGTGAATAATCACTTGAAGGAGTTTGTGGCACTTACACCGTACACATCCCTGAAGCTACTGCGGCTGCACTTCCTCCAGAACTGCCTCCGGCGGAGTGTTTCATTCGTTCGGTCCAAGGAACGGATGAAGTAGAGGGCTGGAAAGGATTGACGACCGGGCCGTGGACCGAGTGAGTGTTCAGCGACCTATAGTCCCACTTCAGAATACTCAGACGCAGACATAGAATCCAGTGAGGACCTACCCCATGCCAAACTCATCGCAGTTGAGCTTGCCAACGATATCCGCGCCCGCTTTCCGTAATAATCCAACCACCGTCGCGTCAAAGGGCGAGGTGAAATCTGCATAATATCAAAGAGACGAGGCTGAGAGAAGTGGAAGAGTTCCGTACCGGCCAACATTGCTGAGGAGCTGGTCGTTGGCATGTCTGCAGTGCAGATCATGTCCTTTATCCCGACAGCAAGCCCATTCAAGGGCAAGTTATCGCGTGCGAGAGGCACGGGAGGTGGTGAGATGCTAACAAAGGCATTGACGGAAGAGTTCTTCTCCCGAATAGCCTGCCGCCACGAGGACAATCCTCGCGTGTATGAGCGCGTTACATTGACGCGCATTCCAAGCTCGAGTGATCGTGATCAAACAAAAGGCAACAACACGAAACTTTTCCTCGGAACTCATGATGCCTCGCAAGGAGCTCGGGCGCCCATTAAAGAAGCCCCGTACAGACGCGGCCGCACCCAAACTCTCCGCTAGCCGTGTCAAAAGGTCTCCGGCTCCCCAGAAGTCGAAGACAAGCCAGGGCAAGGAAAAGGCGGCTGAAAAGACGACGGAAGCGACTCCGCCGCCTGCAAAGAAACGAAAAACAGCCCCTAGGAAGGCCGAAGCACCTCTTCCTTCAAGTTTCAAAATCGTGGCAGGATCGTACGAGAAACTACTGTATGGGCTCGAAGGAACTATCTCCTGCGAGGAAGGATCATCTATCCCGACATACAATCTCGAACCGATATTCATTTTCCCTGCTCATGTATCATGCATCAAGGTAGTTGCTGCTTCGCCGCATGGTGGAAAATGGCTGGCTACTGGCAGTGCGGACGAGATCATCAAAGTCTGGGACTTGCGGCGGCGGAAGGAAATCGGAGGGTTGATGCATCATGAAGGTTTGTCGCCTGCATACTCATTCTTTCCGGTATTGATGATATTCACGTTTCCCACCAGGCTCGATCACACATCTGACTTTCCCGTCCCGCTCCCACCTTTTGTCCGCTTCGGAAGATGGCACATTGTGCTTGTTTCGGGCGCGCGACTGGTCGGTTTTGCGCACGCTTCGCGGGCACAAAGCACGAGTCAATTCCGTCGCAGTGCATCCGTCTGGGAAGGTTGCGTTGAGCGTAGGGAAGGATCGCGCGTTACGAATGTGGGATCTAATGAGGGGAAAGGGAGTGGCCAGCACCAAGCTAGGCAAAGGTCCGACCTTTCCAAATCTTCCCTCCACATCCTCTGACCATCCATTGTAGAGGGCGAAGTCGTTCAATGGTCGACCGACGGCACTCTGTTTGTAGTCCAATCGGCCGCAATACTGGACATCTACACCACAGTGAGTCAAGACTGCGGATCGGATATACTTTCTACTGACCTTCGTTCCAGGATATGATCCTCATCCACACAATAACACATCCATCACGAATCCACGATGTGAAATTCTGTCGAAGAGTCGAGGGCGAAGGCGACATCCTGCTTGTCGGCGCCGAGGACAAGAAGTTGACAATCTACGATGTTTCAAGTGACCCAGAGAAGCCCCCGCAGAAGGTCACAGCATTGGTCGGGCACGCTAATCGGTATGGTCGTGCATTTTGTTCTGAACTTTAGCTGAACTATGAACTTGTACATAGCGTCAAGACATTTCAAACGCTGTCTGTAGCGCTCCCTTCTTCTTCACCAAGGAAATCGACGACCATTGTTGCAACCGCGTCGTCAGACGGAAACATCCACGTATATGACCTCGCAGCCCTACCCTCTGCAGAGGGTAAGTCTGTGGCCGAGATGTCTCCCGTAGCGAGATATGATACAAAAGGCACACGATTGACGTGTGTCACTCTGGCCGATGGAGAGATCACTCAACCAGTGGTCAACGGCAAGCGGAAACGAGAAGATGCAGATCAAGATGGCCAGTCAGGTGATGAAGAGGAGGAGGATGTCGATGAGTGGGAAGAAGAGGTCGAGGGCGAAGAAGAGATGGAGAGCGAGTGATAGATAGTCTGATAGATGGATTGCGCATGGCGGGGAATATCATCCTAGTTTTTTCCGCAAGTAGAGGTCAGTTGTTGTGGAAACGACAGTCGTGAACGACGGTTGACGTGTCGACATTACTACATCCCACGGTCTTTCCGGCCCTGATGATTGAACAGACGACGACGGAGGACGGAGACAACATCCGTCTCACGTCCATATGCGTTAAATCACAGACTGACAACGCTTCACAAGTGAAGACCACAGTTTGAAGCTGATGGAGGCAGGATCTGTATCCCTTTGAAGCCAAATTGTTTCTCGGCAGTGATAAGGTCCGATATGTAGACTGTTCTACGGGAAGCAAAGCTTGTGGCAGGATCACGCGAGGTGTTGTTGTTCGTATGGATCAGATGGTGGGACAGGTTGAAATACTGAGTTCTAAATGCGGACAGGTTCACTTCACTCCCTTTTCTCACCCCACCACCAACTTGTCCATCCGCCGCCATGTCCTACAGTCTCTTCTTCTCCGCTGGCCTTCAGGCCACCGCTGCCTCGATCTATAGCTACTCCCATCCTGCCCACGAGCATGATCACGACAACGAGTTCGACCCCAAAGCACCACAGTCTCCCACCTTGGCTGACCGTGTCTATTTCGCCGATGCTTCGCGATACCGCTCCAATTCTACTTCGTCTCAAACGCTCGGGCAGAATAAACCTGAGCGCAAGCGACGCTCCAGCATCACTGCCGCCGCATCTCCCGTCTCCGCAGTCAAGTTGGCCAAGTCGCCGGCACGCGCTGCAGGAAACGCGTGGCACGCACATGTTGCCGCCTCCCCCAGTCGGTCGAGGAGTGGAAGCATGAATATTGCAAGCGACGACACGAGCATGCTCGGACGCATGCGCAGTGGCAGCATCGGCACCACCAGGTTTGTTTCACGACTGGTTTCAGCTCCACAGTCTCATTCGGCTCCAGGCTTCCTCCGCGCGCGAAGAAGCCCATGACATCGAAGCGTCCCGTTGCTCTGCTTTTTGCGCCCACGCCCGCACCGACGACTCCGCTTCCCGCCCTGCCTTTCTCAACCCCTCATTCCCAGTCGTCTTTGGCCTTGCTGCAACTCTCGCTACCCCCAGCAGGCGATGTTTTCTATTCCTCATCAGCAGGAAAACCGCTGGCCTCGCCCGTGCCGTCCTCGCCTGGCATATATAACGCCGTTTGGCCCGGCTTCGATGCCATCCAGGAGGATCCCGGTACGCAAGACTGAATTCGTCACCTCGGCACCTTTTCCTTTCCTTACGATACGAAAAATTGCAAACAATGATCGCACAGTCGAACTGTTGTTGTACCACTTCCCCCTCCGATCCAAACGTCCTAAAAAATTCGACCCTCGGTCATTTTTTTTGTAACTGTTCCCGCGCTTGTTGCCAACTACCCACGTCCTTTACCATATCTACCTGCTGCTTATTATATCGTATCATCACTCTTTATATATCTTACTCTCTTTCCCTCTCTACTCTCTTTCTACTCACTTCACGTACCTGGGCGTACCGAGCTCCGAGCTCATTCACCGCTTTATGTATGTTTCGTAGTTTGTAATGGCCCTGTCCAGTCTATGACACCTTGGTCGAGCTTGACTCGTTTGTGCGCACCAGGCGGATCATTCAGCTCTTTGAGAGCATAGAACTTGTTGCTCAGGATATTTTTCCTTGAGAACTCAGTAGCGTCTGCAGCAGAAATTCCGAAGTACAATGATCTGTTACAGTCATCAGCCGGTCACTGTCACATGCAATGAATTCGCTGTTTCTGCCAGCAACAAAAACTTCTGTTTCTGATCTTGGTGTTTATTGAGTTGTCAGACTCCTACTACACATTTCTTTGGAATATTTCAGGCCCCTCTGCAGATTTGCGGATGAAGTGGTTGGTTGACACACTGATGTTGGCATCACAAAGGAATAAATCCGATCTGATGCAATCAAAACGCGGTCAGGTGATGCGCGACTGTATCGTGTATCAGTAATCGATGCGGTAATTGATCAGAATCATCAATTCGATCCGTAGCCGGATCACCCCGATGGCAGCTCTCCTTTTGGACACCTGTTTGCTGACTTCAATGTCACGGTTCTCAGGACACGCTCACCACGACTTTCTTCCTGATCCTGGCGCTTATTCGCCGCACCTGAGATGCTATAGACAGCCCTTCGCCTGTCTTTGTCGTCGTCTATGTCCTTCACGAGGTGGACCGTCCCAGGCCCGCTCTGCAGGGCATCCGGGCATTGGGTCATGCACAGTCTCAAAGCGTTATGCACCTTCAATCTGACTCATAATCGTGCGAGGAACTTGCCCTGAGGGTGATTGCCGGCATCTTTGTTGCTAACCGTGGGCTGGCTCCGCAATGGTGGGGGGCTTGTTTTGGGGCTACGATCTCTGTATTCCCCTTCATATTTGCGCTCGCACGATGGACCGAGGTGGTGCGCATATATTCGGTATGGAGATCTAATGGTCTCTCCAGATAGGATCAGGTCATGCATTCCAGCCAATTTCAATATGCTCGCGATTCGAAAACTACTCGAGGATGTGTGCACATCACGTCTAAGCGACCCATCCAGCAACGAAGTCATCGATCTGCCCATGCCGCTTCACGGCGTCCTCCCAAGTCGGGTATTGCCCTTCGGTGGCAAAACGGTCATACAACAGTCCCACAATTTTTGACGGCATCGGAGCAGTTGCGTCTCCCGGCCAGAACTCCTGCAGGTCAAATCCGACCTTCTCGACTTTGTCCGTCTCGAAATCATGCATCTCGACAACAATACCGGCGGACACCATGTGAAGCACGGACAATGCCTGGTTCGTCACCCGTATCTCGCCCTTCTCGCCTGTGATGCTCCACACAAGCGCGGGCTCGCCCGGGAACGGGGGACTGCGGCGGAAGCGAAACAGCAGGGATGCGTCGCGCACGACGGTCGGCGACTCCGTCAGGCGTGCGGTGACGATGTACAGATCCGGTACGTCGGATTTGATGTTGTCGGTGACGGTGTCGGTCGCGGGGTCGCGTACGGTGTTGATCGGACGTTGCAGCTGCGGCTGCGACTTGATCTCGGTGGCCTCGCCCAGAACTGTCTGAATCAGATCGAACGCTGCGGGAGATTGGAACCTAAGCATCCCAGAACTATTATGGCGACATATCACGCACCGTGGCCTCCAAGGATGGTGATGATATTCCCACCAACCGAGCGCTGAAGGACATATTCGGCCCCTTTGGGCACTGAATCTCGTCCTTTGGTCGAGCCTGCGCCGTGGAACTCTGTGCTCAGGACCTTCCCGATCCGCCCGTCCTCGATCAGCTTCTTGAGCCACAGCGTCAAGGGGCTGACACGACCTTGCAGACCGACCATCGTCCGCCCACCACCATTTCGGGCGGCGTCCGCCAGTTCCTTTGCATGCTTGGTATCTTGCGCTAGCGGCCACTCAACAAACACGTCTTTCCCAGCCTTGGCAGATGCAAGAACGGTCTCGTAGTGCCTATCGACACGCGTGCTGCACACGACGAGCCGGATGTCCTTGTCCGCGGCAAGCTCCTCGGGAGAACCATACGCGCGCGTCTCGGCAGGGAGGTTGAAGTGCTTGATAGCAGCGAGGGAAGACTCTTTGGACGAGTTGAGAACGGCGACGATGGTGTAGCGAGATCGTCCGTGTGCGGAGAGCAGGTAGGGCAGGTGCGCAGAGGCAGCCCACGACGAGGTCGAGTTCGCCGACAATCCGATGAGTGCAGTGGGGATGGGAGCCATGTTGATAGTAACGAACGTCCCCACTGACCTGCATTATAAGCAGGAGTCTCTGAGAGAGATTTATCAGCCGATTCGATATGAAGCTTTCTGCTTACTGAGCTGTGCCATATCGACGCGATTCCAATATGACTGCCGGAGCGAGCGGGAAACGATGGTCCTCGTACGTAGAGGTGCCGTGCGAATTAGTCACCACCCTTCAGAATATTTGGCTGATTGGCCCAGGGGCTGTGCTTCGTTGTCTTAAATTGTACAGCGGTTTCTTGACCGGCAGCCGGATTTTACGCAGCACAAACCGATTTATCAAGGCGTGGTAGAAAAGGCTCCGGAAGGGCATCCGTGTATTCCTCTATCAAATTCCATCGCCAACAAAATTTCTGTTAGACGAGCAACAATTATTTATTATAATAGAACGTTGATCCGGCAATTAGGGAATCCTTCACACGAAATTACAGAACCTGTCAAAACTTGTCCTGAACCGTAAACGGTCCGTCACCGGTCAATCACACGCAATGTCACACTCAACCAGGACCCTCATCGACCTGATACTGCATCTATGGTGTCGTTCAGAAATCCGCCGTATTCCACGAGCCACTGTGGAACTACACTGTCTTGCATAGGGCGCTGTTTACAATTGATGTTTATAAACACATTTATAAACAGCTGTTTATAAACAGGTTTTTAATTGCCTGATGGCAAATGGCCTGTTTATAAATCGAAGTACCTGCCAATCAATTGTGGCTGTGAGATCAATCTGTCACATCTTTTCTACACCACATGCCAGTGGCACGATCAAAGGCCATCGGCACACCTGGCAGTGCTGCCTACTATGACGAGCAGCTGAAGTAGTTGTATCAGTAACTCAAGAAGCTTCCGATCAAAGAGGGCACAGACCATGACTTCACCAACTACATTCCCGATCCTGACCGTGTTGACGACACTGGCAATGTCAAGCTTGAACTCGGCGACGAAGGAAGACCAGTTCAGGAATGGGAAGACGAGGCGCTCTGACATCCATTCTGACCAGGAGGCAGCCGAGTCCTTGGACATGTAGGAGAGGGCAAAGCGTACCATCTGCTCTTCTGATACTACCCCGTTCACATGGAAGGCCTCAGGGAGGAGGCGCCAGTACTGCTTGACGGAATGGAGAAACATCTTGCCCTGGGTGCGATCCCCATCAAACGTGAATGGGGGGTTGGGGCGGATGAGGGGTCTCGAGCTGGCCTGTTGGCCAGTAGATACACCTGGACCCACTGCCGGAGACAGAGCAGGGGCAGGGCAAGGCTGTTGCTGTGCAATTATGAGGTTGTGGAGGAGTCCCTCCATTCGTTGCATGGCTTCCTCTAGATTACCAAGTCGCTGCTTGGGGGAGGAGCCATTGTCTTCTCCTTCCATGTAGGACATGATGATCGCAGAAGGGGAGGAGGGGACAAGATTGGAAGTGAGAGGCGTATGATGCTATTGGCGGTCTTCACAAGCTTGTCCAGTTATCCCTAGGAACTCGGTTTCTGCTGTAAGGCCAACCTCGAGGCCCAATCTCAGAGTCCTGACAAGGGAGAGTCCAAAGAGAAACCAAGTTGGGGACTCTCCTTGTCAGGGCCCACTATATATAGCCTACAGAACAATGGATGACCAAGCACAATGGAAGCGCCAGACAATGGGGCCAGGGAACAATGAGGGGCCGGATCGGGGAGAACAATGGGAGCCGGACCGTCGGAACAATGGGGGTCCGGGCCAGAGTGTCATGTGGATGCGCTTGGCAGGGAAGTCCGGACCGAGGCATGTGACGCCTGACAGATGGCACGTGCACGGTCACATGCAAGATCCCATGATGATCAGACAAAAGCAGGGGTTCCCCTGACATTTATCGAATCATCTAGTTGTTCCCTGCAATCACAGTGAAGGGTTCATCTCAAGCAAACAGCACCAGGCCACGGGTAACGTTGAGCCCAACCCAAGCCTTACGGTAGCTACAAGAAGTGCTGCAGAGACCTTTGGGAAAACGCACCTCGGGATCATCGGGCACGTGAAGAGCTAGGCCCGGGATCTTTTTGCTAGCAAAAGAACCTTTCCTTGAGTGCTTGTACAGCATACAAATCCACCATTTCATACCAATTCCCATTGTTGTCTGGGAGTCCGTCTCCTCCCCCCATCATACTATCATTGCCCGATCTGGCGTATCAAAACCAACCCGGGTCCTCCAACCCCTACCTCGCCCTCTCGCCGCCTGAAGACAAGATCCCCGACCTCGACGAGTTGCCCTCCAAACAACCACCCTCACCCCCACCTACTACACCTGCTCCTACCATGTCAGGACACCACCGCATCACCCTCGCGGCCAACCCCCCCTATTTTGATGGGGACAAGACCAAATACATGGGCTTTGTGGACTCATGCACCACCTACATTGGTGCATACCGGTCAGAATTCTTGCTGGATGGAACAAAAATCCTCTTCATCCTCTCCTACCTCCGCAATAAGGCTGGCACAAGCTGCGCCGCCTCAAGATGGGCAATGAACTGGAAGCAGTGCAACTTCGAAAGCGTTAATGGAGTAAAGGCTGTGGTCACCTTGGTGACCTTCTTGGAGGAGCTTCAGAGGGCCTTTGGGGACTCCAATGCAGAGCAAGTTGCCGCCGCTTGACTCATGACCCTGCGCCAGAACAAATGATCCTTTGCGGATTATATCTCCGACTTTGAGATGCTGGCTGTGGACGCAGGGTACAATGTGGTCACCACCACCAACGACAAGGGTGAGTACAAGAAGGGGGATCAAGACAACATCCTCATCGAGTTCCTCAAGCGCGGACTCAGTAGCAAGATCACCAGTTGCCTCTACAACACAGGTGTCCCTCTGCCCAAGGTGTATGGTGCCTTCAAGGACTGGTGTGTCAACATTGAGGCGAACGCTCTGCGTGATCAACTGCGCAAAGCATTGTTTGGGCACTCCACACCACGACCACCTCCCCAATTCCGTCTCCAGGCGGCACCAGCGGCGCCCACACCCGTTCTGACCTGGCCGGCTGCCAATGAACTGGTTCCAATGGAAATCAATTGCACCCATGCTTGCGGCCACAATATCATCTGCTACAACTGTCAGCAGCCCGGGCACATTGCGCGGAACTGCTCAGAACCAAGGAAGAAGCGCACATTCTTCAATCGGGCCACGATGCTTGAAGAGATCAAGAACGGGGACAAGGACAACAAGTTCCTCAAGGAGATTGCTGAGAAGCTGCGCGAGAAGGGTTTTTGAAGCACTCCACTCCTCTAGCCAAGGAGGTGGAGCATCTGGACGATGGACAATTTTCTGTACTTGTTGCAATCAAAGATATGAACGATATTCCTCCCCATACATAAATGCTCCCCAACTTGCTACGTACTAATATTCACAATTTTCTTATTGCCAAGATGGAAAAAGAACGCAAGGAAAAAATAGCTCTAAATAAAAAATACTTACAAGATAAAAGGATCAGAAGACAGCGGCTGCAGATAAATTATTTTTGGACTCCTACGTATTTATGGCTTGTGGAGAAGAAACCACGTCAACAAAGACCAAAAAGGGGAGCATTGCTCCGGAGGCTCGATCCTTGAAAAAGGAGGAAGCGCCTAAGGAATCTGTCAAAATCAAGGTTCCAGAAGCACCCAAATGCACCAGGACTAAATCCTATTGACCCCCAACTGTCGCGGGTCACATGCTCCTGACATGTCAGTGATGATCTGTTAGCTCGTGGGATTCACGCACACTACATCATAGATTTGGGACTTGGAACAAATTTGAGCGTCTCCGAGATGCCCCAGCATTAAGATATAATACAGATAGATAATAATTCATTGGTCAACTCAGATTGAGCCCATTGTATTATTTCTATAGCGTGTGTCGGCTTTATTCCCGTTCTGGCTCTATACTGGTTGCCAAACCTGGCTAGTTTCTGTGCAATTACCGTAAATCAGTGACCATATCAAAAACATTGTCCCCGATTTTTTGCCGCTTGAGTTTTCATCTCCTTCCATCCGCTTCTGCGTATATTTGATCAGTTCAAGCTAAGCTCGAGTTGCCGACAGGACTTTGTGCACTTCTTGGTGGCCATTGCAATGTGTGGAACTCGTTAATATGAGAGAGCAAAGAGCGCATCAAGCTGATCACATGGAAAAATGTACTTCTCAGACCCACAATCATTGTCAATCAACAAATAATCAGCTTATTGTTGCTGAGATCTCTTATCTATCTTATCTCAATGCTGGGGCATCTTAGAGACACTCGAATTTGTTCCAAGTCCCAAATCTATGATGTAGTGTGCGTGAATCCCACGAGCTGACAGATCATCACTGACATGTCAGGAGCATGTGACCCGCGACGGTTGGGGGTCAATAGGATTTAGTTGCACCAGGGTGCCAGATGCCGTCCAGAGGAAATTGGCGGCCGAGAAGCAGAAGGGCCCTCAGCCCAGCAGATTGGCGCAGGAATTGTGCAGCTACCAGGCTGAAAGGAAGAGGCATTCAATGGACGTATATGTCCAGATCACAGGCCTGGACTCTGGGAAGACACGCGGAGTCAAGGCGCTACTGGATAGTGGCTGCAGTACCAGCTGCATCGATACCGACTACGCGCGGGCAGAGAAGTTGGATATCCAAGAGCTTCCGCAACCCATCGTGGCTTGTAACGCCAACAACACCAAGAGCATCAGCGGTCAAATCACACATTACGTCAACCTAAGGATGAGAATTGGCCCTCATGTGGAGACACGCACGTGCCTTCTGACGTGTTTAGGGAAAGCTCAGATCTTCATTGGTCTTGATTAGCTGATGGAACACAACCCTGAGGTGGATGGGCAGGAGCAGACAATGAGATTCAGCCAATGCCCAGAGCGGTGTCACATGAGGGGTCACAAGGAGCATCAAGCAATGATTGACATGGATGCAATTGACCTGGACACGGGCGCACCGGATCTGGAAGAGAGAGAATCAATCCTGTTGGTCGACTTTGGGAAGGAAGTGGATCTACAGCTGAAGGAAACACCGGCACAGAAATTCGCAGAAGAAGCGGAAAAAGAGAAGGAGAGAATGACCGAGGGGAAGATTCCGGATCAATACCGGGAATTTGTCAAGGTATTTGCCAAGGAATTGTTTGACTCGCTACCAGACCGACGGGCATAGGATCATGCAATTGAGCTCAAACCTGGTTCCAAAGCAGTGGACTGCAAGGTGTACCCATTATCGTGAAATGAGCAGGTCAAACTCGACAAGTTCTTACAAGAGAACCTGGCCAGCGGACAGATCAGGCCATCAAAATCACCCATGGCATCAGCATTCTTCTTTGTCAAGAAGAAGGATGGCTTGCTACGACCTGTCCAAGATTATCAGAAGCTGAATGAGATGAGGATCCAAAATCAATACCCGCTACCGCTGATCTCCAAACTAGTCCATAGCCTTTGCAGCGCCAAGTTCTTCCCAAAGCTAGACATCCAATGGGGATACAACAATGTACGGATCAAAGAGGGCAACGAGTGGAAGGCTGCGTTCTGCACAAACCGCGGGCTGTACAAGCCCTTGGTTATGTTCTTTGACCTCACAAACTCCCCGGTGACCTTTCAAAACATGATGAACAACATACTCCAGGAACTGGTCAACGAGGGTCACGTGGTAGTCTATCTTGACAATATATTGATCTTCACAGAGAACTTGGACAAACATTGGCGGATCACAAAACAAGTACTTGAATTGCTCCAAAAACACAAGCTGTACCTGAAACCCGAAAAGTGCGAGTTCGAATGCACAGAAATCGAATATTTGGGTGTAATTATTGGACACAATTCAATGCGGATGGACCCAGTCAAGATTAAGGGCATGATGGAATGGCCTGAACCAAAGAGCATCAAACAAGTCCAAGCTTTCCTAGGCTTCACCAACTTCTATTGGTGCTTCGTCCGGGGATATGCGGAGGTTGCCAAGCCGTTGACACAACTGACAGGGAAGGCAGGATGGTCATGGGGTACAGATGAGCATGCGGCATTTGATGGATTGAAGAAGAGAATCACGGAGGATGCGGTCCTAGCACTGCCAAATGATACTGGCCAATATTGTCTGGAAGCCGATGCTTTGGAAGGGGCAACAGGATCTGTTTTGAGCCAAAACCAAGATGGCATTTGGCGCCCAATCACATTTATTTCACACGCATTGACCAAAACTGAGCGAAATTACGAGATCTACGACAAGGAAATGCTCGCAATCATGCTATCTTTGGACGAATGGAGGCAACTACTGATGGGAGCCACAGAAACGTTTGAGATCTTCACCAATCATCAGAATCTTGAGTACTTCCGGAAGCCGCAGAAGCTCAATCGACGGCAAGCACAATGGATCACGGATTTGGCAGAGTTTGATTTCACCTTACGACACTGGCCCGGCGCAAGGCGGATCTCTTATCCCGACGAGCGGATCACGACCAGGGCAAGAACAACAACAAGGATGTCACCCGGCTGAAGCCCGAGTTCTTCCGATCGCAAGAAGTCACATTCGAGGGGCAAGATCAGCAGCTCGTTGATGAGATCAAGGCCGTTTGATCGATTGATGGAAGCATCAAGGCGGCCCTGGAGAAGTCACTTGTCGGATGGAAGAAGGAAGAGTGTGACAATCAACCCAAAAACAAAGTCAAAAAGAGAAGTGAATTCGAAGACTGGAGAATACAACCAAGTAGCTACAGTATTTATACCCAAATCCAGTCTGAGTCATATCTACAGCTAATGAGTCATAAGGCTATGTACTGCATGGAGCACTGTTCATGGGTTGTAGTAGAACCTTCTGGAGCATGTGTCGCGCAGCCTCAAATTGATAGAGATAATCCCTAGACCCCTAGCCCGGACCGTCTGATGCCATGATCCATGATAAGATAATCTGTGCCAAGATAAGATAAGGTGGTCGATGATAGGACGGAAAAGTGCTGAATTATGACATTACCCCCTCTCTAGGGTTGATGTCCTCATTGACTAGGTCAATGGGTGTGAATACGTTTTCGTACGGATCGAAGAGTTGTCGCTCGGGGTATGGAAGGCGCTCGTCTTTGGGTTTGTAGCGATGGATGAGGTAATCCCAATGTCCGGCTTTGAGAGTTGGCAGGAGGCGAATGCGTGTGTCTGGGTTGGATTGTTTCCTCTGCCAATCTCTCAGGACCTTCTTCGCGTGGGTAAGGTGACGTGATGGTTCCCAGGTGTTCTTGCTATGCGGCCATCCCTTCCATTTGACCAAGTACTGTTTTCCTCGGCCGACGTTTCGCTCTTTCACGATCTCTTCGACTTCCCACTCCTCTGCTCCTCCGATCATCTTGGCTACGGGTCTCTTCTCTCGGCAATGGGGGGTGGTTTGTAATAGGGTGTCAGTAGTGACTCGTTGAACACCGGGTGTCTTTGGTCCGTTGAAATGCTGGGGGCGTGCTCACAGGTGAATCTACTATGAAAGTAAACCCAAATATAAACACGTTCACACTCCTCGTAATCAGCTTCTCAGTGTGTGAAAGATGCGAGGGCTCCGGGGTGGACAGAACACCAGTATCACAACTCTCAATAGACACAGATCAATAGTCGCGGAAGACGAAGTCGACGACAAGAATTTATATATAGTAAACAATGGTGTCTCAACCAATATCTTCTATACGAATCACAACCAACACTAATCCAATCACAACCAACAATATAACAAGTCAGAACTTAATACGGAGTATTAAGATCCCTTGTAGCGACAGCATCCAGATGGTGACGCAAAGCCCAAATATCAAGTCGACGCACTGCCAACTGATACAACCAATATACTGAGTCGATGCACTGCCAACTAGTAGAACCAAAATGTCAAGTCGACGCACTGCCAACTGACACAACCAAAAGTACTGAGTCAACGCACTGCCAACCTAGTAAACCAAAATGCCGCGTCGACGCACTGCCAACTAACAGCCAATATCCAATGTCCAAAACCCGAGCACAACTTGTCGACGCACTACCAAGCAAGAAGTGTGGAGCCAAAGTTCTCAAGTCAATGCACTGCCAACTGACCAAAACAACCCGAGCACAACTAGTCAACGCACTGGCAAGCTAGAGGTGTGGAACGATCTCAACAAAGCCCGAAGGCGACAACACTAAATGCCACGACTAAACCAGATGCGGCAAATCCGACTTTCTGATGTCTCAACTCAAACTCAAATCACAGTAGCTACAAGTGCTCAGGGAGCAACTCGTCGCGACCGGGCAGGGGTAGCAGAACTTCTTAGGGTGGAATCACGCAGCACGCAAATTGTACAAAACAATCTGAAATGAGAGTGATTCACAGTCCGGGGGAAAAGCTCCCTAATACAAAGAAACGGTGTGCTACTTATACTGTCTACAACGATGCTTAGTAAAGTCCTGTACAACTGCATAGTAGCTACGCTATCTAAGATCGGTTGCCTTTTAGAGTAATTGAAAAGTTGAACGATCGGACAGGTCCTGAGTGATCAGGACCCCGCCCCATAGTCCATATGATACTTTTGATGTGAGTCAACCCACTGCGTCATACTTTTGGAATACGACGTGCTGGATTGGCCAACGGGTATGTCTTGGCGAGTGAGTCCAACGTGGGTGCCCCAAGAAGCTGTATGGCCCTAGGCACGCCAGTCGTTCCCCACACGGCTCGGTTCACGGATCTAGCCCGTGTCGATTTTAGTGTGTTTGGGTATGGGCGCGACTCGCTGTGACACTTAGAAGTGTCACCGCGACGCGTCCACAATGTCCCGTGATCAAATGGATCCTGACATGTGACAAGTCGTTGCCGTGGCATGATCTGAGGAAACATCCAACCCCAAACCGGGAGTTGCCGCGACAAGATTGGTTCAATCTCGTAACGCCAAGTCCTGTCCAGTAGTAGTTGTATTATTGAGAACGTCGCACATTGCTCAGCCCTTCAGCCCAGGTTCCCATCTGCAGAGAATGACCCTTTTGAGAAGTCGCCGCAACAAAGATCCCTTTTTGGGGAATTGTCGCAGTCCAAGCGTTCGTCACTAATAGCCCTGAGCCTGGTGTAGACTCATATGACCAGTTCCACAGTAGTGGTCTGACTGCCTTGCTATCGTCAACACTATCCACAGTCGTCAACTGGGCAGTAGACCCTTAAGTCCTACTGACCGCAACACTGTCAACCGCGACACGATACACCAAATGGTTCGAGAGTAAACTCTGTAAAACGCGCAAAAATATGCCCTTACAGAGCTGGTGCAGAGCGCGTCTGGTAGCCAGCCTATCACTGTGTCTGGCAAATCCAGCTTCCATGCAGCCGCTCCAACCTTCTCCAGTATCTCGTATGGCCCCAATCTCTTGTTGCTCATCTTCTTCAAAGGCCTGTCCATCTCAATATTGTCCCCTTCTATGTACACCTTCATCCCAACCTTCAACTCCGGAACTTCTTTTCTTTGTTTATCGTAGTATTTTTTCATTTTTTCTTTTGCTTTTTCCAATGCTGCTTTTGCTTTGTCTTGTATTTCTTTGATTCTTTTACAAACTCCTCCGCTGACTCGTTTCTCGATTCCATCCGTTGTTCCACTCCCTTCCATAGGTGATATCCATGATTTGCATAGAACGGTGATATTTTGGTAGACGTGTTCATTTTATTGTTATATGCAAACTCCGCCATTCCCAGCCACTCCGACCAGTCCATCTGATGGTAATTGACGTAGATGCGGAGATAATATTTGATCTCCTGGTTCATGCATTCTGTCTGCCCATCTGTGATCAGGTGATACGCGGTCCCTGGATTCATTTCTATGCCCAACATCCGATTCATCC